ATATATATATATAGTATTCAGTATTCCACCAAATAAACTCCAAAAGAAGATCCTCTCATATCCAAATTAGCACATGTGGGTAAAGAAAAAACTCGCCATAGTGCATATATTTTCGAACAGATTTATTGTAAAAAAAAAACCCTTAAAATCACACTCACAATAAGCAAGTAAGAATAAAGCCTTTGTTACATCAGAGCTCAAAGCCCTGTATCCAGCATCTCACCAGCCTGCCTGCACTCAAGATGGCGATAGTGCGCTCACGTGATCCGGACACGTACGTCGGCGTGCGTGGTGACTTCACTAGCTAGCCACACTCCAACGCGCTTCGTCCAATGACTTTTTTTGGTTAGGGTTTAAAACAAATGTTTGCTTTTTTAACTTTCTTCCGTCATGCCTAATTGTCTAAAATATTGTCCCTCTACCCCTCACGTAAATTATAGCTGAAAGTGTGTTTAATCCCTAAACTAACTGTCACACTTTGAATGGCAATTGCTCAGTCATGCTGTACCCAAATGAAATTTTATAATGATTTTGAGACAGATATAGCTTACGTTTGGTGGTATGTAATCACCATTTGTTTTTGTTTTTTTGGGAAAAAAAACATATTTTTCTAAGTTTCTGTTATATTTTATTTGCAAAATTTTAATCTTTATAAATTTAGACCTAATTGTATTCTGCTATATTTCTTTGGCAAAAATATCCCAAATTAGTATATATTTAGCCTGACAGTTATAGAAGTCTACAATGTATGGTATATATTTATATTTGAAAATTGATCAATCCTGATGTACTGACTGCCTCATTTTTCGATGCCATAAAAGCCTGCCAAGGTAGTACAAATACCCCCCCCCCAAATGACCCAATTTTTGGGAAATAGACAGTCCAAGGTGTTTAGTAAGAGGCATGGTTAAATTTTTTTTTTTTTTTTTTAAGTTGTAATTTTTTGTCACTTTTTTGAAAATTAAATAAAGTTAGTTTTTTTCACAAAGTTGTAATTTTAACAAGTTATTTCTCACACATTCTATAGGCAAACTTACACCCCAAAACACATTCTGTTATGCCTCTCACATATGGGGATACCACATGTATGAGACTTTTTCACAGCCTAGATGCATAGAAGGGCCATTACCCAAGGAGCATCTTTGGCCTTTCAAGGAGTATAAATTATTAATCTAATTTCCTGACTACCTATCACATTCTTAGAGGCTCTGGAGCACCAGGACAGTGGCAACACCCACAAAATGACCCTATTTCAGAAAACAAACACTCCAAGGTATTTTCTAAGGGGCATAATACGTTTTCTGCCTTTTTTTTTTTTTTGACACAGGTTTTCGGACAATGCAGGAAAGAAAATAAAAATTATTTTTTTTACATAGAGTTGTCAGTTAATAATATATTTCTAACACACATCATAGACTCCTTCCGAGTATGGAGACACCACATGTGTGAACCTTTTTCACAGCCTAGCCACACAAAGGAGCCCAAAAATCCAAGGAGCACCTTCAGGCTTTTTAGGTGTATAAATTATGCATCTAGTTTCCTGACTAGTTATTACATTTGTAGAGGAGCACCAGGGCAGTGGAAACACCCATACAATATCCCATTTTGGAAAGAAAATACCACAACGTATTGAGATGCTTTGCTTAGCAGTTGTGGCAGGAATTTTACCCCCTGTACTCCTGTCAATCGCGACCCAATAAGGTTGCTTAGGCAGGGTCTAAGGAATTGAAGTAGGTGGTGAGAAGGCAATACAATGCTTCCCCGATGCCTGTCAAATGCTCTCAGAAGAGCGATCTGAATTTGGATGGCTCTTCAGAGAGCAGTACACATGTGAACAAATTCTTATGGTGACACTGTGACTGCCGTGGCGGTGATCAGGCACACTGTAAGAGAATCTGTGGATTCTTGCTGCTGCAATGACTGGGTTATGTGATTATCAGCTGACTGCATTCAGGCTCAGACATCTGTCCATCTCCTCAGCTAACTGCTCTAAGTGCGCACAGATACCAGAGAACAGCAGCGGCCGCTGCCAGCCTGCTATTAGTTTAAAAGGGCTAAGTGGATAACCCAGTCAATCCAGCAGAAAGATTCCACGGATTCTTGCTGCAGGAATTTGGTGGCCGCATCCACCTGGACCTGTGAAAGTGGTCTAACTAGTGTGGCGGTTATCAGGGACACTGCAACTGGTATGGCGGTGATTAGGGACACTACTGAGTGGGAGGTAGTGATTGGGGGCACTGTTCTCCATTGACAAAATGGTATTTACTGCTGTAAGATCAGTGGTAAAATAATGTATAGCCTTTTTCAAAAAAATGTTTGCATCAAAAACGTTTGTAAAATAAAGCATGTGCTCATTCCATCAAAATTTGTAGTATTTATCTCCTGAAACAAATCTTTATTTTATTGCATGACATTATATCCACTGGAATGGATACAGTGGAGAGGGATTAGAACACCTGTCAGTTTTTCTTGCTGTCTGTGCCCCTGTTCACTCAAGGCACCTTCTGTACCACTGTTCACTCTCTATAGTTCTACTGTTTCTTCTTATCATTGAAAGTGTAAGGGAAAGAAAACCCCACGTTTTTGGTTGGCATGAAAACACAACAGAGGGGAAATCTTCCTATTAGAACACAGATGGAAAAAAAAAAGAAATGATAGGGGTTCTAACCCTCACTTACTATATCCGAAATGAAAAGAAAAAAAAGTTTGCCCTTAGATATCACAGCAAAAAATTACTTTAAGATATAGCTGACATTCATTGCTATATCTTTGGACATGTCTGTTTTTCTCTTGCTAGAAAACAGCCATTTGGGGGGATTTACTAAAACTGGAGCCCAGAGAATCTGGCACAGCTGTTCATAGTAACCAATCGGCTTCTAAATTCAGCTATGAGCCTGGGTTCACACTGATGCAGTACGGAGTTCGCAGTATTTTCTGTGTGAATTCAGCACCGCATCAGAATCGCACCCCGTTTATGCGCACCGCTGCACCCCGAAATCGGTCCACAAAATGCGGTGCGATGTGCAGAATCAGATCGCATAGGTGAAAATACCCACACGGTCCAATTCTAGTGCGAACCCTAAAAAGGGTCCTGCACCATTTTGATGCGGTGCAATTTGAGTCATATATAATATATGGCTGAAATCGCACCACACAGAATTTGCATGTGATTTGCACAGGAGTGCGGTCCCTGTTCGAATCACATGCGATGCACCGCATCAGTGTGAACCCAGCCTGAAGCTTTGACAATAAGCCCTCATGCACACTGGACGTTTTGATAAAGCTTGTAATGTTAGCTGTGTATAGTCACATTAAAAACGTGAGTTTTTTGCGTTAGCATTTAGCGGCGTTTTGCTGCGATTAGCGCCGTTTTTCCACATTTGCATTTTTTTTACTTTTTTTTTACAACATAGGATAACATGCTGGGAGGTTTACTGGCTGTAGAAAAAAAAAAGTCAAAAGCCAAAAAACAGCAGCTGTAAAATCATCAAGTGTGCACGAGGACTAACACCTAGTAGCTGATTGGTTACTCTGCACAGCTGCGCCAGATTCTCTGTGCTCCAGTTTTTAGTAAATCTCCCCCATTGTCATTCTCTGATGCTCTTGAAACTCTCACTCTGGTATCCAACTACCAAACACCCCTCTCCTAACAGCTCAAGTTCCACACCTTTTGTGAGAATATGTGTGAAAAATTTTCACCAAAGATATTTGTGAAAAATGTAAGTATTCTCACTACATGGGAGGGATTAGACCATTGTGTTATGTATGTACATTGTATAATGTTTGGACTGATTGAAGTCGCACAGATGTCAGGCAAGCAGCACATGAAAACACACTGACCAGAGGTTTTGAAATTGCACTACTTCAAGTGAAGTAGCGCAATTTCAAAGCTGCATTCGGTGTGAACCAGGGCTCAGTGAATGAAGCCCACTGACTGGCGACAATATGTAGAAAAAAAATAGATTTATATTTATTATATATATATATATATATATATACATACATTTTTTTTTACTTTTTTTTTTCTACATACTGTCACCAGAGTAGTGCAGTGTTACCTTTGTGATGCTGTAATGCTCTGGGAAGGTGATCTGGGTTTTTTTTTGATGATCACTGTAACAGCAATCATTTTAAGTGTCATGAATGGCTTTCCTTCATGACTCTCATTTTACTATTGTGATGCTATAATTAGTCACAGCTTTCACATGGTACAGGGGCCTCCCTGATTGGCCCTGTACACCGTGTGATCACTGTGACCCAAATGCAGCCTCACAATAGTAAATAAGTTATGAATGGCTGCAATTCATGACAATTATTTACATGAATGGTATGCAATTACTTGTATTGGTCACAGTGATCATGATCCCTAGGACAATCACAGTGTCCTAGTACGGATCGCTTAGTTCCACAGCATCCAATGGACACAGCAGTTGCATATTGCACCCCTGTGTGCCCCAGAGAGCATGTGTAAGGCATGTGCCTGGGAGGACATCATATGATGTCCACCTGGGATAAGAAAGCTCCTGAATGTCTGTCATTTTACTATAGACTGGGCTATAGTAGTGGTTAAAGTGTTACTAAACCCAGGACCCTGCATTCACTATATCTGGTCTCCCACAGTACACAGAACATGGAAATGCAATTATTTCAGTAAATATAAACGGCTAAATATCTTTTTTCTTCAGCAGTTAGAGCAGTTTTATGACTTCTATCAGTGCCCAGCAGAGCACTGGCTAAAGCTTGTAGGAAGAGTTTTCTTTCTGCTGAAGAAGAATGCAGAACCCCTACCTCTGTCTGGACAGTGTTGATTGGCCCTGTACTGATAACATGTACTCTCCCAAGAAGAAAATAAAACCTCTCTACCAATACACATCAAACTGAGCATGAACAAAGTGACTCCATACAATATTTCTAATCGGGAGATAAGAGAGAAGGGGGGAGGATCAGAGAAGTCAGGATCAAACAACCTTTTTACACAATGCAGAGGACTAATCCCTTAGGTTCCACAGTGAGTATAACAAACATGCTTTACTGCATATACAGACTGAGTTTACTGTTGTGGGTTTAGTAACACTTTAAAATACTGCAAGCATTAAATTGGCTGTAGTAGAAGAAGGCTGAAAAACTGGGGAAAACAAATTTAAAAGAATTGAAATCCGTGATAATTATATAGTACTGAAGTGTCATATTTTACCACAATAAACTCCATTCAGCTGTGTATTGCTCAGTGGTGTGCATCATATTCACATTGATGCAGTGGCTTAATAAATAATGCCCAAAATGATCTACACGCCAGAGAGTAGGCTAATGTTGGAAAGAAAGATCAAGAGAATATTAGTACAGTTACATAGACATTCTGACAACACTTATTAAAGGAATCCTATGGTTACATTTCATTTTATAAAATCTACTGGAAAGTGAAAATTAGCACTTACTATTAATGTTGGGCTGGATGTTCGAGTTGAACATAAGTTCAACTCGAACATCAGCCGTCCGTGTGTTCGGCGTACACACGAATGGTAAGGGCATTCGGGCGGGCTGTTCACTCGCTGTGCTGCACAATGCACTGCGTCCTGACAGTGCATTGTGATTGGCCATGCAAAGCAATGCTTTGGCCAATCACAGCGCATGATGGTATCACAAGGAAGCGGGGGTGACATTGCCCCCTTGTAAGGTCATCACTTTAAGAACTGTCATCCTCGCGCAGTTGTCAGACGGTAGGAGCCAGCGTTGAGAGTGGAGTGTTTTTTTCTTTTTTCTGGGGGTTGGCGGTGGCATCATGATTGACGTTGGATCTACTTCGGGGACATTTTTTTTTTTTTTTGTTTGTAATAAAGAACTTGTCAAAGACTGTCTACTGTCATTTTTTTAAACTACTTTTTTTTTTTTTGTGAATGAGTAGCGGTACCGTGTACCCAATACTCATTCACATAGAAGGGGGGCGAGATCTGGGGGGCCCTTGTTAAAGTGTGCTTCCAGATTCTGAGAAGCCCCTCATCCGCAGACCCCTGCAACCATCAGTCATGATTGTGGGGAAAAGGCCCCTGCCCCAAAGTACCCCCCATGTTGAGGGCACGTGGCCTGGTATGGTTCAGGAGGAGGGGCGCTTGCTCGCCCCCCCATTTCCTGACCTGCCGGACTGCATGCTTTTCAATTTTGGTGTGAAGGTTCCGTTCAAAATCCATACCAGACCTTAAGGGCTTTGTATGGATGGGGGATCCCACGCAGTTTTTTTTTTAAAACATTTTTTATTATTGCTGGACAATGCCGGCAATTCTTTACATTTTCTGTCTGCGGGGAAGCTGAAAAGCTGAAACATTAAAGAATGTTTTTAGTAGCTGTGCGGTATCTTACTGCATACTCAGATGTGGTAAGATACTGCTTCGTGAATTGTCCCCTCTGTTCGAAGTTTTTTGCGGTCGAACTTTGGTTAGTTTACAATGTTCGACCATGAACCAAACGGGGGGTTGTTTGGCCCATCACTACTTACTATTTATGGAGTTGCAAACGATGACATTTGTGCAGAGAATGATACAGATTTAAATGCTAAACATGGACGAACAAGGCAAGAGATGCTTAGCAGTAAGCACTAGAAGCAATGCCATGGTGCATTTTGTTTAATATCTTTCAATGGGAAAACCACTGACTAGGACAAAAAGGAGGGCTGTATAAGGAATGCAAATGTTTTCTATCTGACCCCCATGGACCCCCTGAAACCCAACCATGGAGCATTTAGGGGTCCAAGGACCCCAAGTTAAGAACTCTTGGATCAAGATGTTCTATGGCTAAATGTGTTTAATAACTAACGTTTTATATTTTATCTTTAATTTAATTGTACACGCCAATGATTTTTTAAGCAGACTAGAGAGGTGTATGAATTGATGTGTGAGAATCAAAATTCATCTTCCACTGTTTTACTTGAGGCAGATATTAATGAAGTTTCCCACCAGTTTTTGTGGTCTTGTAACATTTGGTAAACTTTCCAATCCTTCTCTATACCTATAAGGGTGTCATTAGACATCAGCTCTATATAAAGGTGTTGTAGGAATACATTTGCAATGGCACATTTGAAGTTGGACACATGTTTTATTGATGCTTAGATCCTTTATCAAATGCATTTTACAATGTCCATTGGGAGTTATTTGTTCACATTCATCATCATCATCTTAACACCAGTCACAGGCAGAGCAATGCAATGATCAGCAGGGCAGCTGTCACTTTTCACTAAGTGCCATGCAGTCACAACTGGCAATGCTCTTTATGCTATGCTCAATGTTATTACCGACTTGTGACTTTTCTGAACTTCTAGTTATGGTTGCCACCTCATCCCTTGAAACCCAAACACGTATTAATTACATAGGTTCTGTGGCTGATTAAGGTGGTAATTAAAGTGCCTTATCTGCATTAAATTAGCCTCAGAACCTCTGTAATTAATGTGTTCGGGTTTAAAGGGATGAGGTGGTAGCCCTAGCTGACATAGTCATTGTCAAACAAACCACAGGCACTAAATGTTAAACAGGATCAGCTGTACGTTCTGGGTTATCCAAAGTTTAGAGCAAGGCTTAAAACAAACTTTATAAGAACAGACTTATGAGATTCAAGGCTAGTTTCCTGTTATTGTGCAGTTCAGCTGAGCATGGAAGAATCCAATATCTAAAGATTGTTTTTTGAAAGACCGACTGACCTCAATGCACATATTTTCTAATTTGCTGAACTTGTTGGTTGGTTGAAGATGATCACATTTATATTTACGGAATGCTGAAAAGAAAACATATTGCTTGTTACTCATATAATGAAAATTTTAGACTTCAGTGACAAAAAAATGTTTTTTCTTGCAGTGTCAAACATAGAAACACACTTTGTATAATAAAATGTATTTAACATTTAATGCTTTGAAATAATGTTACCCTAGCATTTCATATTTTTAATACTGTATGTACCTATTATACCATGTCCTTGTATTAAAAAGTATTCTGGTTTCTTTGTATTTCTCTGTGGGAAAAACCTGACATTCCTGCCAGTTTCCCTGCCTTCCTATTTCAAAATAATCACACTAGGCATAGAAGCATGATCACTTTTCTGGATGTGCTGGGAGAACAGCCTGCCTGTCCTCCAATGATCGGACGTATGCCGACAGCCCCCCCACCACAGCCTTCACTTGGAATATCAGTGTACTGCTGTTTCTCTACTTCAACCTCTCTAAGTTCATTGTGCAGCTAATTATTTGGTCACTTACAAAAAACAGAAAAAAATATATTTTTTAAATGTATGTATGTGTGTATATATATATATATACATACACACACAAATGTTTTTGCTCTTGTTTCTATTTTACACTGGGTTGTTTTACAAGGTGATGGTTCACCCACATTAAAAAAAAAAAAACCCACAAAAGTAAAACATATTTTTTTATTTCCATAACTAAAATTAAAATGTGTATATTTTTACAATTATTTTTCTGTTCTTCATGGATGACAAATACTGCCTGGGTTACATTACAGCTTTTCAAACTTTGTGACACAAAACAATGATATTCAAAACCTACATACCCATACTGTACTGTGAACTACTCAGGTACAAATAAAAAAAAATAAAAAAAAATCATACAGACAAGATGTAGTGTGTCAGTTCTCATTAAGATCACATGATCACAGATACATTAGTCACATTTGCTTTTCCAATAGTTTTTTTTTTTTCAATAAAAGGTACAGAAGCCAACATTACAGCATATGACAAAAAGTATGCTCCAAATGCATACTGCAGTACAAGATGGTAGAGAAAATAAATTGTTTTCTAATACATATAGATTTCCTCATAACACAATGCAGTAATTATGAAACAATGGGGTTATTAAAACACAGACAAAAATATATACCACCCCTCTGAAAATGTCACAAATGTAGGAGGGTATGAAATTGGAACAGCATTGTGGAAGAAATAATCCATTCCATTCTCTACTTTTTTAGGGGGTGAGAGCAGTGCAAGGCATACATCTAACTTCACTGCAGTAGCTAGGCTTCACTCCCCCTGTGTGCAAGCCTATATCCATCACATGCTACACATTATACAGTAATTGCCAGCCTAAAAGCCAGAAAACAAAATCAGGAAGAAGAAAAAACAGAGAGAGAAAGTAGTAGGAAAGAGAACAGGAGGAGAAAGTGCACCCTATCTGGCCAAAAAGAATGGACTGATCAATCTCAAGAGAAATCCGGAAGGTATTTAAACCAGGGTTCCCAGATTTTTTCAAAGAAGGCCAGTTTATCATTCAAAAGTGCTTGTTTATCATAATCCATGATAGCTTGGCCTTTATAGATCAATTTGAATCATGGGGGATTTCCAAGACGTAGCAATAGAGATTCTGGCTGCTATGAAGATAAATGCTAGTTTCCTTGTGTGTCCCAGTGAACCAGTCCACTGTGCCTCCTAGTAGAGCCTGTTAGGGAGATTTGATAAGGTTCCCCTGGATAAGTGAGTAAATGAAGTTGTACATGTGAATCAAAAACCTCCTCACTTTTGGTTGGGCCCACCACATATAAAACACTGTACCCTCCAGGCCAAATCCCTAAAAGCATAGTAAGAAGGGTCTCGGGCAAAAGATGCTATTCTCACCTGTACCATGTACCACCTCAGGAACACCTTATAGTTGGATTCAATTAAAGAGGTATGAATGTATGTTTTAAATGTGTGCTGTGCTATCTTACACCATTACTCTACTTTCAAAGTCTCACCCATGTCTTGTTCCCATTTCTCCTTATAGAAAAGCTTAGCTGAACCTAAGTCCACATATTATAACATTTTGATATGTGGCCAGTGTGTTTGTCAAAGTTACAACATACTGTAAGTATTTCATTGAAGTGGAATAAGTCAATTCTGAAGTGCCTTTTAAAGCATTTAAGAAATGCACAATCTGTGAATACCAAAAAATTTCCATTTCAGGAAGCTGTTATTTTTCTCATAAGAATTATTTTGACTAGACACCTCTATGGTCACACCTATCCAATGTGCAACAGATCTTTGTTGGTCCACCAAACAATATTGTGAGGATTTAGACCAAGGCTGGGTTTCCAAATAGTGGGGACAGGGGAGTATGTGGTGATTGAAATCCATACGTGGGTGTCAGCCTGTG